ATCCCTTCCTCCACCTCACCCAGTATCTCTGGCTCTTGTTCTTCCCTAGAGCTCTGAGCATATGTAAGAAGTTTTAAATCTGCACTTGAATTCCCAGGGGAACCATCTCTTTCCTCATCACTTCCCTCAGTCACCATCTCTCCCTCGATGTGGCAATGCCACCAACCCTCCACAGCCCTGTGGGACACTGTCCCCCTACAGAATGTGTTCCATCAGCCACCAGACACCTCCAGCAGAAAGAGCCTGTCCAGTGTTTAACCTGACACTTCAGCCTTGGGGGAGAAGCCAACAACCACGGAGCTAATCCAGAAATTCCTCAGGGCTGCAGAGACCTTCCTGCACAATCAGCAACTCACCTGCGTTGTGTCACCCCAGGGCAAAACTAGGAAAGCTCATCTCCTTCCTATGAATCACCCTCAGAAAACAGCCCCAATTAAGAGATAAAACATTGCTGCCACAACACCAACTTGTGCAGGGATTTATTTTTAGAAGCAGCTGAAAATAGGGAGGGTTACCTTGGTCAGAAACATCGCCTCTCTTTTGGGAAGGGATGACATCAGAGCAGTGATACAGAGCCCTGGGGGGAGAGGCACTTCACACCCTCCCCAGGGCTCCTGCACAGCACCAGACTGAGAGAAAACACTGACAAAAAGGAGGGGAGAGCGTCCAAAATTGTAGTAAGGCGGTAGGGCTTAAAGAGAGGAGCGTAAAGGGATGATTCAAAGCAGTTTGGAAATGACAACATATTTCCCACTAAAGAGTCAGAGGAAAAAGCTGTGTGTAACTTTGGGGCAGAGTTTTGGGTTCTGACAGCCAACCCTGGGTCTGAGATGGACTCTGATGCAATGCTGACTCTTGATTTGAAGTGCCACTGCCACTATGAAACCAGGTCTCGGTGCAAAGATCTGAGGGTGATTCCTGGTGTGACACCCCCAGCACATCCTTCTGCACCAGTAAAGGAATGGAAGAGGAAAGGCAGAGAGCAGGGGATGTCCATCCCTGCTCACACACACCCCCAGCACAAATCCCATGGATGCTGATGCTGATGGTGATGGTGATGGTGATGGTAGGGGATACCCTGCCCCAAAACAGGGTCCAGCTGAGCCCTGACACAAGGACTGGAGAGGACATCACATCCTCAGTGATCCACCAAAAACACTGCAGACAATCAAATCCCTGCCAAGAGCAAACTCTTCTCCACAGGCCACACTGTGTCCCCTCTGCACCTCCCTGTGCTCTCTGCCCTGTCCTGAAAGCACAGGGGGAAATCCATCAACGAAGAGAAGGGTTGAGTCCCACCAGGATCCAAGTGAAGGATGCACCTCCAACACCCCAGAGGTTCATGGCACTGTGAACCCCAATATCAAAAGAGAAGATGAATTCAAACCTGTGCTGGGCACTGCTGAGGCCACAGCTCGAGTGTTGGGGTCAGGTTTGGATCCCTCACAACAAGAAGGATGCTGAGGGGCTGGAGGTGTCCAGGGAAGGGGCTGGAGCAGCAGGAGCAGCTGAGGGAGCTGGGGGGGCTCAGCCTGGAGAAAAGGAGGCTCAGGGGGGACCTTCTGGCTCTGCAATCCCTGACAGGAGGGGGGAGCCGGGGGGGGTCGGGCTCTGCTCCCAGGGAACAGGGACAGGAGGAGAGGGAACGGCCTC